CCTCTTTCTGGAACAAATGACATTTCTTGGGATGGAGTTTGAGGTTTGCTGCTTCTAAATGCTTGAATACTTCCTCCAGCCGGGACATTTCCTCGTCAAAAGTTGTTGCAAATACAATGACATCGTCCAGTTACACTAGGGCCATCCTCCATTGTAGGCCTTCCAATACTCGTTCCATCAGCCTCTCAAATGTTGCTGGAGCATTACTGAGCCCGAATGGCATCACTCGGTATTGCAAGAGACCTTGGCCATAACTAAATGCTGTCTTGGGTCTATCTGCTTCAGCCATTTTTACTTGATGGAAACCTGACTTTAAGTCCAGAGTTGAAAACCACCTGGCTCCACTTAGGGCATCAAGAGTATCATCAATTCTTGGCTGGGGGTTGTGGCGTTCTCCTGTAATCCAGCTACTTGGAGGCCGGAGTTGTGGACGGTTTGAGGTTGGGAGTTCTGCTGTATGCTGACCTATGTTGATCGGGCATCCACAACTAAGCTCGGCATCAATATGGTGACCTCTGGGGAACCTAGGGTTACCAGGTTGACTAAGGAGGAGCGAATCGGCCGAGGGCGGAAACGCAGCAGGCAAAAGTTCTCGCGTCGTGCAGTAGTGGGATCGCGCCTGTGAATAGGCAGTATGGAGTAGCCCATCCGATATAGTCGGACTCAATCCCACTATTAGTTGGTAAAAGAGTAGGCCCGGCATGGCCAGGTGGTTAAATTGCTTGACTCGCAATCTGAGGGTTGCGGGTTCGAATCCCCGTCCCACCAAAGATGCTCGCTCTTTCAGCCGTGTGGGCGTTATAATGTGACGGTCAATCCCACTTCTGACACCAATTTGTTACGTCTCCGTTCGTTAATTAACTTTCCGTAACTTCGTTCCGACGAAACTTTAGCGACACAAGTCCCTACTTAATAAAACTGGTTTATTCTTTCCGAATATAACTTTACGATACACTTATTTTCAACAATCGCGCTAAAACAAACGCTATAACAACGAATAACAATACGTCTCTCTCTGACTGCAGTTCAATTACTCATTACCTACACATACATTATTCTGTCACGTTGTCACCCTCTTTTATATACCAGCTACCCTATATCTAGTAAATGCTAGAGCATTCGCCAAGGTACAGGATAGTTCTAGAAAGCAGAGGGCGTGAGAATAGTGACATGATCTCGCTGACGCAACAGTACGGTTAAAACAAACTTTGCAAGACCGACCTATATGGGTCATATAAAGCGTATTCCACTAACAGCTTGTTATCAATGATGCCAAGAATACATTTCCAGCAGACCAGTAAAGTGTGTAACAATATTATTTTCATATAAAGAGTCGTGCCTCACCCTGAAACCACATAACAGGTATATACTAATTAGAACGAGTCTGGAATCAGACTCAGTCCAATTTTCATCATTTAGAAATGTGAACCATATATTGGCAATGGAAATATGATGTGGACAAAAATAAACATTGGTAGATGTACTTAACCATAACATTCTACAAAATGGAACATCACTGACATAAATTATAGGGACCACATCCTATAAACCTTTATGCAGTTGGCTCTGACTACAGCTTAATGCATCATAACACCATACTAACCATGTTAAACTGATCGAAATTTCCTTGTTAAGAAGATGTGATTGGCCAAATGAATAGTGTTTCGACAGCGGAAGTCACGTGACGCTGGAAACATGCCCGCTGAAGTTTCTAGAAGGATCATGGCTGTTCCTGTCAACTGTAGTCTTTTCTAGGCGCCTTCTATTTTACTATATAAGCCCGGCAAATAAAGCGGAGATAATAACTGCAGATAGATGGAGATAGAGACAGGTAATTGAGTCAAGTGAGCGGTAGTAACCGTAAGTAAAGTGCGTGAATCGTTGTGAATTATAGCGTGTGTTCAAGTTAAAGTAACTGTGGAAATACTGTGTATTATAAAGTTGTATCGAAAAATAATAAACTAGTTTTAATTAAGAAAGGACTTGTATCACTGAAGTTTCTCGGAAAGAATTTTTACGGGAAATTAGCAAACAAGCAGATACGTAACAATAGCTTAATATACTTATTGAATTTCAGTGTCGCAGATCACGTGTGAAATGTTCTTGGGAGACGCGTCACATTCCATCAAATGACTATAAATACTAAAAATTATAATTAAAATACTATTTCAGCCAATTAGTTGAATGGTGTGTGTTTTCTCATAGCAAAACTACTTCGGGCTATCTGCTGTGTCCACCGATGGGTATTGAAACCTTGATTTTAGTGTTATAAATGTATAGACTTTCCGCTATCCCACCGAGGAACTAGTTAAAGATATCTCAGCTTCAAGAATGCGACATCAAGGCTATGCTTCCCTTTTTTGTTCTTGGTGACCATAATCCATTCTGAACAACAAAGTGCTTATTTATGAGCTTAATCTGAATCAACAATCATTTGCTTTTCAGCTCACTTTGTGTGATATCAAATGCCTAGTTTGAATAAAAATGTACTGAAAAAGGTGGTTGCCATTATTGCTTTATCCTAGCTATAATATTACACATTTTGATTATCCTTTAATTGTTTTGTGCAGTATATTTATCTTGTCATCGTGAAATAGATGATAACGTTTTAATATTTAAATCAGATAAATTACCATCTTAAAGAATGTTAGATGGACCAAATGAATACTTTTATGCCATTAGAGGGTTTTGCTAATGTCTAACAGTTTCCCGTATTCAGTTGCACCTTATGTCTCTTTTATTACATTCACGAAAAATAATACTAGTTAAATAGCTTTTACAGAGCAGCTTGACCTTAAAAAAAAAAGTCACATTTCTAGAGATTCAACAACCTGAAAAATCTGTAATAATTGCATTTATTCCACACAAGCTAATGTTTTAATTACTTTACTTAGCGTTTTTATTTCACAGCATGAAAAAATAAAGATAAACCCAGAAACTGGCGTGATAAATTTGGTTTCTGCTATTTTTTCATTTCAGTTAAAATTATTTGGATTTTCATAAACAAATCAAATAATCAAAATACGTACACGTGTATATAAATAATATTTCACTTAATACGATTCGTAATGAGTCATAAGAAGATGGATAGAAATTTAAGCGTGTTGATTGTAATTATCCTCATATTTTGGGGTGATTTTGTCATAGCTAAGAAATCTGATAAAAAAGAAAAACCATCATGGGCAAAAAAAGACATCAGAGATTACAATGATGCAGATTTAGAAAGGCTGTTTGATCAATGGGAGGTAAGCTGAATATTAAGCTAAGCATAAACGTTTATTTTAGTAAAACTAATAGCAATAAGTATTATTACTAACGGTTTTACTTTTTATTCTCATCTAGCGTTAGTGATGAGCCTAAAGAATTGATGTTTTTTATCCAATAGCTTCTAATGTAAGGCACTGTTGAAGTGGCATGCCTTCTCACAATGTACACTGATTACAGAGGGAACCAACAAACAACTTAGTAATATTAATTATAGTTTCTATTATCTCTTAAATTAATGAAAAATTAACAATAACTTGAGTAAAGATTTCTCTAAATACATTAATTAAGGATAAACAAAATGTTAGGATGGAGGTAGGACCTTTGACTTTGAGGGATGATAAAGGAAGGCATGTAGTTGTACCTGATGATTAAGAGATGACTGGGTTATTAAATTCTGTGTTTTCTTCAGTTTTTACTAATTAAGATTTAAGGAATATTCCTTATTGTGAACAGTTGATAGATGGAAACAAGATGATTACATTAATTCTGAGTTTGTTAAGAAAAAATTGGGAAGTTTAAAGAATGATAAGGCTCCTGGCAAGATAATGTTTCCCCAAGTGTTTTGAAGGAGGTTAATGATTAGATATGTGAGCTACTTTTTTTTTATAAGTCTTTGAATAGTGGGCAGGTGCCAAAGGATTAGAATTTGACTAATGTTACTCCTTTTTTCAAGAGAGGTGATAAAAATTGTCCCTGTAATTATAGGTCTGTTAGTGTTACATCAATTGTAAGAAAAGTTTTGGAAAGTGTGATAAAAGATGCTTTGCAAAGTCATTTAAAAAGTTTATAATTGTATTGGATAGTCAACATGGTTTCACTATGGAAAAATCTTGCCTTACAAATCTGTTGACATCCTTTGAAAAGATTATTGCTTATGTAGATGAGAGTAAGAGTGTAGATTTGGTGTATATGGATTTTCAAAAAGCTTTTGACATGGTGCCACATAAAAGGCTGGTGTAAAAAATTATATCTATAGGTCTGGGGGATAGGTTAGCTAATTGGATAGAAGAGTGGTTGAATGGAAGAAAGCAGAAAGTAATAGGCATTCAATCAAATTGGATTAACATCACAAGTGGGGTACCTCAGGGTTCAGTCTTAGGACCTTTGCTCGTTTTTACTTGTATCAATGACTTAAATGAAGACATAGTCAATAAATTACGTAAATTTGCTGATGATATTAAATGTATTGGGTGTTACTGGCTATGAGTAGGAGAATTCTGCTTTACAAAATGATTTAGATCGTTTAGTGAGTTGGGTGAATAAATGGCAGATGGGCTTTAATTATAATAAATGCATGTGGGTTATCATAATTTGAATTATAAGTATAATTTAGACGGAAATAGCCTTAACAGTGTTATGAGAGAAAGGGACCTTGGTGTAATGGTTGATCAGTCTCTTGAGCCGTCCAAGTAGTGTGCTGTTGCTGGTGTCATAGTGGTAGGGAAAACAGGATTTTAGGTTTTATCTACAGAAATATTGAATACAAGTCCAAAGAGGTTATTTCATTGTATAGGTCACTGGTTTGGCAACATTTGGAATATTGTGTTCAATCTTGGACTCTTTACCTTATGAAGGACATTGAATTGTTGGAAAGTTTCAGAAGAGGAGACCAAAATGGTGCCTGTGATAGAGGGGTTGTCATACGAGGAGAGGTTGAAATCTCTCAAATTGTTTTCTCTGATTGAGGTGTTTAAAATTGTTAATATAATTGATGCATCATCTTTTTTCATATTTAATGATGAGAATGGTAGGAGTCATCTTCAGCTAAGACAATTTTATTTTTCTAACAGAGTGGGTTGGCTTTTGGAACAGGCTGCCTTCATATGTTGTGGAGGCAGTAAATTTAAGTGAGTTTAAGAGAAAGCTTGATAACTATGTGAATGATAAGGGTTGGCTTTGAGGTTTTTATTTAATAGTTTTAGTTTAGAGGATGGAATAGCACAGATGAACCAATAGGTCCCCTTTTGTCCCTAAACATGATATTATATAAAATCGCTGATTTTTTTTAGGCCCTTCACAACACGCAAGGTAAAAATTGAAAACAGTATTTTTCATTAATAAAATTTCAACTAAGATTTTAATTCTGGGGAAAAAATAGAATTACGTAATCTTTGTACTAACTTTATTTCATTTTGATTTATTCCTTATAACACCATAAATTCCATAATAGTTTTGACTATTCATCAAACTGTGTATTCTTACCATATTTCGACAACTAGACTAGAATAGTATAAAGACTGTTTGTAATATATTTTCAGATTGTCTTTTTCAATTTCAGAATTTCCATAAGACATTTTACATTATACTATTATTGGGTACTATGAGTAGAGCTGGTAGTATTTAATTAAAATTATCAGTAGTCCATATGAATATGTTGTATCCATTTCTAATAAGATGGTAATATAATTAAAGCAACTCAAAAAATTACTTAAGAACTTTTTTTTTGCTATTTATGTATTGCCTATGTACTTACATGTATCATAAATTAATTTCTTAAATACTAACCACAGACCTTTAGTTCATGTAGTTTTGTTTTCTTAATCTATAAAATGAAAGTATTTTGCTACTCAAAAGAACAAAGAACTTACCAGTAGTTTTTAAGATTAAATTTTTGTGTATTAGTTAATCATTGTTTTATCTAGGAAGATGAAGAACCTTTGGAAGAAGATGAGTTGCCAGAGCATTTGCGACCATCACCAAAAATTGACCTAAGCAACCTGGATACCTCAAATCCTGAAAATCTGTTAAAAATCTCCAAAAAGGGTCGGACTCTAATGACATTTGTTTCTGTTTCAGGTAGGTTTTAATGTACAAGCAAGGCTTCCTACTTTCTACCACATTACTAATTTTGTTTCATAATACCAACAATTCTCAGCGTACAGAAAAAAAATTATTTAATTTGACTAAGAATCCAAACACTCCATACATTCATTTACTTCTGATAAACTAGTGTACTTACCATTAATTAGAATTTACATATATATATATATACTACTAGACATGCGATTTTGTAGTGTTTAACCCTTTTGCTGCGTAGTTCAGATATATCTAAATATACATTTATACCCACTGACTGCGAAATTCAGATTTACCCCATAGCTACCAAAAAAAGTTTCCCTCTACTACAGCATGTGGCAATATCCCCCTGTACTTGAAACAGTTGGCAAACCTGCATTTGTGTTCTTCACTGTGAAACCTGGATGTTTATATGCCTCAGCTGACTGACCACGTGGTGACACGTGCTTTAACTCTCCATGTTTTGGAACTGATTTTATTGCTTTATAGGTGAGTTACTTATATGTTATGTTTGTTATACTTATCACTAACTTTCAGGAATTATAGTATATATCTTCTTATATGCTATTATATGAGGCTTTGAAATTCACCGGTATATGGCATTTCTATGTGAATAATTGACACTTTTTGGGAATCAGTCTGAAAATTAATTGTGCAGTGAAATATTGTTCGTAGAATTTTCTTCTCCTGTATTATCCGTTCATGGATACTGAGTGTGCATAATCTATCAAATCATGCAGTCTCTATATATATACATGTCAGAGAGTGCCATAGCACTTTCTATATAGGGATAGCATGAACACCATTATTAAAGCAGTACAACATTCATCTGGATTTTCTTCTCTACAGGTCATCAGGAGCTACGTATGAAGAGCTACCTGGCATAGTTGCTTTATCTCTTGTGTATGTGCCACTTTTCAGCTAACCAGAGCATCCCAAAGTTGAAAATCAACAAGTAGCCAAAACAGAAATTTCTTATTTTCATTCATCATCATCATCTTTCATCATCAGGCTTAGCACCTATCTAATTCATTTGATAGAGCAAAACAGTCTTCATGATCTTTGACTAATTATTTTATTATTATTCAATGCCAAATTTATGAAGCTTTAGAATACACTCTATAACCTAGTAACCCACATTCACCAAATTATAAAAAAAAGTTAACAAACAAGAATAAGGAAAAAATTTATTGTTAAATAAAAAAGTTATGTAGGACTGGGTACTGAACTTGGAAAAAAAAGGAACCAAACGTAATAAAATATGGATGGAAGTGGGCATATCCTTTGATCAGCTAATGATCACATAGCAGACTAAGTTGTTTCAACTTTGCATGGAGAATAAAATCCATACATTACTGGCTTATACTGTATTTTGTTTTTCACTATTTTTATTTGATACTTTACAATTACATTTGTAATAGTTTTTATACATGCATAAAATATGGTACTTACTATAGTGAAAATGTTTTGTATTTTATATTATTCATATAAACATCATAAGCAAACACAGTAATATCAAATAATGCCATTTAAAAATGTTCCTTAAGTAAACCATTTAGTAATAAATGTATACATAAATGGAACAAACAAAAACTTTTATGACTGATGTGTTTAGCTAAATATATATTTGCATTATTCAGTAGCATATATTACATTAAATGTTTGTCATATTTTTCTTTTGTGACAACCACCACCATTTACTACAGTGTTTGACCAAATCTTTGGTTTTCTAAGCCATTTACAGGGTATTTAATTAAACACTGTCTTTTATAGTTTTCTAAAGTCTACATCCATGCTCAAACCACACTTTCCTTATGACATGAAGATATTGTGTGTGTGTATATACACATGTAACAGCATGTTTATTATCCATTCATGGACACTGAGTGCACATGATATGTTTTGATATATGAAGAAAAAATTATAACACTTAAATGAACTGTATTTTTATTTTATTTGTATCATTTAATTTACATTTTTTTATTTTACATTAGCTAGACTTCTCAAGAGTTGTTTATATGGCTTTATTGTGATTTTTACAGAAGTATATTACATTTATGATTTACATGTCACATTTTGGTACATTTTGTATGTTACTTGATATTTTCTTTTGATGTTTTTTTTCTTTTCAAAAACACTTACCGTCTGGTTATTATAATGTACCTAATATTCTATTTTGACACTTTTAGCATTAAAATCAAACTATATTCTTATTATTTCAGTTTTAATTTAGTAATATTTGTATGAAACACAGAGGGTTGAGACATTATATTAAAAACTTGGAATATGCAAATCAGCAAGTCATGTGATAGCTACAGTTAATATAAAGTCATGGTGGAATGACACGTATCAGAACTACACTTTGACATTTTTTGGCATTTGATAGGTTGTGTATGCTACCCAAAATTGTTTATTTGTGAGAAGGGTATGTAACAGCCCTTTCTGATACAAAATATTCAGGTCATAAAAATTTGTTGAGATTGGAAATTTAGAATTTCCAAAAAGGGGATATCTTTCGTATTCAGTGACTTTGGAGAACAAAGAAATGTGAATCAACTTGTTGAACCAGGACCATCCAGAAATAAACCTGCAATAAGTCATATCCCAAATGTGGTAAACAAAGTGCAGCATCTTATAACAGGTAAGAATCCAGAAAACAAAGATCAGAAGCAAAAAAACTTGAAAGGTATGTCTTTGTAGGGAATGATGAATGGATATATCATGCAAATAACTATGCACATATGACTTGTGTTACATTTCCAAATGGAGATCCTTTCTAAAAATTTGGAGATGGCTTGAATGGGTAATAAAGAAAATTATGTAATCATCATACTGCTGCCTGGGGCATATGGATAGGCTTAGTCCCTATAAATTCAATTGATTATAGAAAGCTGCAGGGAAGAGTGATATATTTTGAACATGACTGTTTTATGATGGAGCCTTTTGCAGTGAAAACTATACTGCAGTTATGATGCATGGTCATCAACTTGATCGGATATGGTAACATAGTGAGGCTCCAAAATTTGTTTTAAGATAATGTATTCAATCTTGTGTATTGTTTCACCATTTCAGTATTTGTTTCTTTCAGATCAGTTTGTAGCACTTAATATGTTATACCTCATTAAATATTCCAATGTAAAAATAATTTTAATCTATTTCAATTTTACATTGTTTGACAGGGCTTTTAGACACTAATGATTGTTTTATGTTTGTCATACTTTATTCAAATTAACATTTTCTTAGGTCATGTGGAAATGTTGATTGATTTTAGTTTTAATGTTATGTATTATGGTTAGTATAAAAAAACAACTGAAGAGAATGAGCTAAAAGTATGTATCTGCATTAAATCCCCAATATATAATTTTCTGTGAGGCTTATAAACCAATTTTCACTTAAGTGCATTTCATTCAATGTTTGTAATTTCTGATGATACATTCTGGTACTGCCTTTAGCAGAAGTTTTCTTTGCACACTGCTAATCCTTGTTTTTAAAAAGAATGTCTTTCATGTAGAAACCTATCTAAAAAACATATCAGTTTTCTTCCTACTCTACATGTAATCCACAGTAACTGTCAGGCTTTAACACAAAGAGATTATTTCAATTGTAACACTAAACAGCATTATCAGTGTGAAAAATCTTTATCTAATATAATTTATTTTATTTTCATATCTCAGTGAAAATTTTCTGATATATTTATATATAGAAACTGTACTTATGTTGTCCAGGTAACCCAAGTCAAGAAGAACTGGAAGAAATAACAAAATTATGGCAAACTAGCTTGATGAATAATCATATAAATGCAGAACGGTAAGCATTTGCTTCACTTTCAAGTAAGAGCGAACTTTGTGAATATAGGTATAGTGGAGTAGTGTGATGTGTGAAATTTTTATATATTTTATTGCAGAATGCATTACAAATGCATTGAACACTTTTTTTCAATAGGTTGACTAGACCTGACAAATCAGCGAGACTGGAAATTAGTTTCAACAGTTTTTTTCTAACATGGAATCTAACATTTCTTTCTAGTTCCTATGTAGTTAGTGTTTCCAAATGATTTTAAAAAGTTTTGACTTCATACAGTGTTAAGTACTAATATTTTAAGTGGCAATACAATTTTATTCATCCATTTTTCAACTTTTGTGCATTGATTATCAAGATTAAAGACCTCATACATAAAGTCTTTATACATGCATGCTACAATTTGAGCCATGTATCTAATTTCCTTTTATTTCAAAGCAAAATAATTAAGTTGTTTTAATGTTGTACCTTTCAGTGGAACTCAAGAAAAACATAAATTTCAAAAATAAAGAACATGCATACAAAAAAGCCTTTAAAATCAATAATTGAATTTTTCATATAACACCTTTAAAATATACATCATGTTAGAAAATAGTATTAGGAAGGTAAATTTTCAAGTCACCTTAGATTATCAGTGCTAGAAGGAAGGCTCATTTCTGAGGATTATGTGATGGCTTATTAAATTCTACTTTTTTTTCCAGTTTTTACAACTGAAGATTGAGGTAATATTCCTCCTCTTAAACAACTGCTAGATGGATACAATATCAAACGAAATTATTAAATTAATTCTGAGCTTATTAAGAAAAAAGTGGTAAGTTTAAAGAATGTCTTCTGGGTGAGATATTTCCCGAGGGGATTTTAAAGAGGTGAGGGATTGCGTATGCAAGCCACTTGCTACTACTTGTTAGTCCTTGAATAGTGAGAAGGTTTCCAGAAGATTGGAAGATCACTAATATTACTTCTGTTTTCAAGGAAGGTGATAAAAACTGTCTCGGTAATCATAGGACCGTTAATCTTAAATTGGTGTTGGGAAAAGTTTTTGATAGTCTCATAAAACATGCTTTGCAAAGTAATATAACAAAGTTTAAAATTTTGTTGGGTAGTTAACATGATATCACTAGAGAAAAATCTAGTCTTGCTAATCTTTTGAAATTCTTTGAAGGGTAATGGTGTTGATTTTGTGTATCAGGATTTTCAAAGAGCATATAACAAGGTGCCACATAAAAGGCTTGTTTGAAAAAATTATTTCTCGAGGTGTGGGGGGATAAGTCGGCTCATTTTATAGAAAAGTGTTTGGATGGATAGAAGAGAGTTGTTATAAATGGAGTTCAGGCAAACTGGATTAATATCATAGATGGGTTACCGCAGGGCTCCAGGTAGGACATTTACTCTTGGATTTACATCAATGAGATAGATAAAGGAATGGTCAATAAAACAATAAATTTTGCTGGTGATATTAAAATTTTGGGTGTTGCTGGCTGTGAGGAGGATACTGCTGCTTTACAAATGGATGTGGATTATTTGGAGAGTTGAGCAGATAAATGGCAGATGGATTTTACTTGTCATAAATGCATATGGATTTTGGTATTCTGATTGATCATTTTTGTAAGCTATCCAAACAGAATGCCATTACTAGTAGCAGAGCAAATAGTATTTTAGGTTTTATGAACAGAAATATTGAATTCAAGTCTATATAGCTTATAATTTCATTGTATAGGCCAGTGGTTAAGCCACATTTGGAATATTGTGTTCAGTCTTGGACTTCTTACCTTAGGAAAGACATTGAATTCTTAGAGAGAGTTCAGAGGAGGGCTAATAGAAAGATATCTAGGATGGAAAAGATGTCATATGAGAACAGTATAAGATTCCTGAAATTGTTTTCTCTTGATGAAAGAAGAGTTAAGGGGATATAATTGAGGTTTTTTTTAAGGGAATTGATGGTGTTAATGCAATTTTTTATATTTAAAATTGGTTACTGAGCAAAACATGATAATATCATGTAAAATATTAACCTAAAGTTCTATATATATATACACTTTTGCTTTGAAATTTCTCTAAACTTGTGGAATGTCATATTTTTCATTGGGCATGAATTTTATCATAGTGGCCTATTTGGTTTATTTAAAGCTGCAATACATTTTACATTATGATTTTATCATTTTTTAATTAAAGCATTCCAGAAAATGTAACAAATTTTTAAGGCCTTCAAAATAAATAATATATTGCATTCAAATTTGAGTTTGCCTTTATTTTTTTAAAAGGTTGATAATGACAAGCGTAACAAATTGGAAATTAGGTATTTCCATCATGTTAATTAAGTTATTGTTTCTACACACACAGGTTAGTTGCTGTAAGCACAATTGCAAGATGAATTAAGCTTGGAACTACATGGCCAAGTCAACATAAATCAATGTAGTATTTAGGCAAATATTGTTCATTAGCTTACTGCAACAAAACAAAAAGAAATGGTCAAGAATCTGCACATGCAGAATTAGTAACAACATTTACTTTCAATAAAATTTTTGTATTGAGTATTTTTTTCTCTTCTGTTATGCTGTGAATGATACATTCTTTGTCAAGGTAGATTGAAATATGTAGCTCTTCATATAAATGCATAATGCATAAAATTATCTCCATCAAATTAGACATCAAAGCCATTTTTAATTATTTTGAGGAAATTCTAATATAGCCAAAAAATGTAACATTAATAAGACATAAGTTTTTGTCATATGTTATCACATTTTAAAGAAGAAATGTATTAAATGTAATCAAAGAAGTGTATTTCTTTTATAATGAAGCCAATTTTTTTTATTACATAGTCCAACATTAACTAGAAAATAAGGCATAAGGTGTGAACTGATCGCTGGTTCTTTTCCATATTTTACCCTTAACAGTTTTTTCTATGTTTTTCCACCATCCATACTGAATAAATGCAGCATTGAATAAAAATTGACTACCCAGTAATTTTAAAGAACTTAAAAAATGTTTGAAGCCCATTTACAGCATAAATGAAGAAATCAATACTTGTATAACAGGTAATATTCTTGGCCTGGGGTGCTTAGATTGACAAAATCATGAAGTACTAACCCTAATGAAAATATTGTTTCTCTGAGGTCTTTAACATTGCAATCAATAACAATCAATTTTCTAAATTTATTGTGTTAATTCTTAAAATTACTATTTGAAAAAATGCCTATGGTATTTTATGTTTTTTTCCTTTTAATGTATAAGTTATGTATATAAAAATAAATACGGAATAGTATACATTGTTTTTATATAATTGATTACATACTTAAAACACTAGCACAAGGTATTTATCATTATTATTTATATTGTAACTTCAGATTTTTGTAATTGTAGTAGCTTAGCCTGTTGACAGAGGTTTTAATCACAGATGGACAGTATCTTAAATAATTAAACTAAGCATTTTGATCAGGGTTTGCAGTCAGTACCGGTACTGGTTTATAGTACATCATATGTTGAAAGTAATATTTGTTATCACATGTCCCATCTTCAGAGTTTTGACAGAACGCCTCCTTTGGTATTTCAGCTTCACTTTTCACAGAATTATATATGTTTGATATGGTAGTTTTGAGTTCATACTTCAGTCAATAAGTGAATCTCACCATAAAAATCGGCAGTGGCATGAACTATGGGAAACTGGTGACTCCCACACTCTGGAAGAGAACATGAATGTGTCTACATGACTGATTGTATGTTAGGTAGATGCATGCGTGATTAACCCTTAGCATGCAGACAGGTCAAACTGCACATGTCACGACGTTTTAGTGAGTTACATTAAAAATTTAATTAAACTACTTAATTATCAAGGTATACAAACAAACTTGATATCAAACCATAGATAATAAATCAAATTTTAATATTATATATGTTTTAAGTTCTTAATTGTATAAGGAAATATTTAAAAACAACCTCAAATTCCCCTAGTGTAAAAATTTGGATATTTGTTTTTGAGCTGTCTCCTCTTCTGGATTTTTTTGTCCACCCCTAGAATACTATGAAGTGTAATGTGAAATATTCTCTACAATTTCATCATTGATATTTTGAAGCTATATTTTTATATTCTTCAATCCTATGGGGCTAAAGAGTAATCAATTAAAATTGAGAAACCACTCTCCATGCCTACATCTGACATACTCTAATTTACAATTTGCTAATAGATTTTTCTGAGGCTGACTCCCATTATATTTATAACCAATAGAGAGCCTAGATTTCAACTGATTCATTGCCATAATCATCATACCATGTGGTCTTACAGATAATTGAGAATTTGGTTTGATGTAAAAAAAACAAATTTTCCACGAGAACACACTGGAAAGAATAGTTGAATTTCTAATTGCTCAAGTCAAAGGATTAGAGATGCTCGAGTTGGTACCGGCAACCTGGTATCGCCAGTACTATTGTAAACCCTGATTCTGATGAACAGACATCATTGGTGTTTTACTTGTGAGAAATACTTGAATGAATAATTACAATATGTCAACATGTGGGAATGACACAGCTACACACCTAAACATTATAAACAATCATGCCTGTATACTATCCTAACTTGTTTTACAACTGTATTTCAAATACTGTCAAACCTTCCAGCCTGAAGGAATCATGTACCCATAACATTGACTTTAATAATTGGTTAGTCGATGTTACAATCTACCATAACAGTATCATTGCGAATAAAAAAAAAAAAGTATATAATGAACTGCAAGGCAAAATGTAACTGAAATTGGAATAAGCAATCAAGGCCACATTATTATATCTAAATATAATGAGTGAGTAACGGTATTGTAGTTATCTATATGAAGAAAGTTATACCGTTGAATTTTCATGTCGTGGTGATTGTGAATTTGAATGTCCAAGTGAATATGATTTCTCGTTTGTTTGTTTTTTACTTGTAAAGCATTTCTTAATGTTCATATACTTAATTCTTTCCACAGGTTTCTTATAGATGATCATAGAGCCATATTTATGTTTAAGGATGGCTCACAGGCATGGGATGCTAAGGACTATCTAGTAAATCAAGAGAGATTAGATGAGATTACAATTGAAAATAAACCATATTATGGCAAATACAGTCGAAAGGTAAAAACTGTTATGGACTTTCTTTGACACCATATACCACCATGCTATTACTAAATAGTAGGTGCAATATTTACAAACTGTTGTAATTTTTATGAAATATTTTTTTATTTTGTTTTTACATCTTATGCACATAATTACAATATGTGAAATAGTGTTCGTTCTCTCATCATAGATGGGTAAAATTTGCCAGAGAACAAGCTACAGTCAGCATGTCTTGTCACCCATGATGAGTGAAAATTTCTAGTAGCCATTTTAGGATTTACAATTTATCTCATTCTCCACAACAAATTACATTTTATCTCAGCCTAATCAATATCTTCAGTCTTGTTTTAGATTTGCTACAAGGCTGAAGATATCAATCAGTGAAACATCATAAATCAATCACAGCAAAAAAGCAGAATGGAATGAGTTCTAAATGTATATGAAAGTTAATGTGATTGGCAGAGTAGTTTATCTAATTTTTACTTATACACTCTACTGTTTTTTTTTTTTTAATTTATATCTTTGTTGCCTGATACCATGTTAACACTGGTGGGGGCCAAATGGTGGAAGTAGAGTTAAATGCTTGTCACAGTTTTGTTATTAACACTTTATGACAAAAAGAAGGTGCTATAGCAAGGAAATAAAGTTTTGGAGCAGTACATGTTTATCACCATCAACAACATTAAACAAAACTGTGAAACTTGCGTGTACATTTTAAAAAATATTTTCGGACTTTCTTAAATTTATTACATAATTTTACTTTTAGTATATTGTTTTTCTCACTTATTTTGTTGTGCTCACTACTATACAACTTTTTATATTTCTAGTAATCTTTTTTTTTTAATATATCTAAATAGCATGACTTTTAGACTTATACCAACAATAACTTTTATTTCATTGTCAGTATAATCTAAATCTCTAGTTGTCTGTTTCATTATACTTTCTTTGCCACAGTATTCCCAAAAAAAGATTTATTACGTAATATTTCTACTAAAACATGTAAATGGATATCAGCTGTTGTTTTTTTATGGTTTACACTTATGTTCTTTCAGTATGCTTCAGTATTCCTGTTTAAATATATTTTACAAAACCTAACACACATGATTATTTGGTTTTACCACTATTAAAATAGCAGCCAGAATCCAACATGAACAGGTTCAGTCTTTACCCACACCTTAGAATGTTTAACAACAACAAAAAATCTTTGTAAATAAATTTTAGAAATCAGTTGAAGAATTTGGTAGAATTTGTTTCTCTCTGAAAATATTTATGATATACAACAATTTTAAAATTTCTCTTAGTTTTTAGTTTATAAAATATGTGTGTGTGTGTGTGAGTCATTTACAAGAAAGAAACAACTCAGTTCTGTGTTACTCGTATACTATATTTTTCTTTTATTTATTAGGCAAAAGAAGAAACCAATAACAAATCGTCTGATGCTTCAAAATCATCAAAAGAAGCCAACTCACGAGAAAAGAGCACCTCTATCAATGTAGAAACTAAAAAACCAAATAGTGATGAACTTTGAATTTTTGTGTGTATATATTCACATGCACACTAAATATGTAAAGAAGAAGAACAAATTTCACTTGCATACATAAACTAGTGTGTACAGACTATCAAGTGTGGTAACGTGTACCTTCATTTTTCACCGTATTTAAAAATGTACATTTTGAATGGAAAATATAAATTCAATAGCAAACTTTCAGTTTACTGTTTTTATTTTTTAATGGTCAAAAACAGCTTTGCACAGAAAATTATTTGAAAAAAAAATCAAGTTATCATTGTAGGTGTCTTGTTTGACCATAAGTATAACTTGTAAACATTTAATAAATAAGTAAAGATTTGTATTATATTTTAAATTAACTTTAAGTATTTTACTTAAGTTATATTTGCATATAATAACTTCTTAATTTCACAACATGATGTGAAAATGTTATCAAAATCATGTATTATCTATGAACTCCAAAGTTAATATTGGTAGAGTGAATATATCTTTATGAATGTGGCAATAGTTAAGTATATTGTATTTGTAGTTTTCCAACTGCAAAACAGTTTGATCAAAAAATTGATTAGAAATTACTACTTTGTTCAAGTGTAAGTATGATAACTGAGAGATAGCTTAAATGGGAAAAACATTTGATGATTAAATTTACTTTTGTGACTGAAAATACAAAACTAAATGATGTAAAATTAACATATGCGATGCTTTTTCCCAAATAGCATAATCAATAGCTAATTTAGGATTTTGAAAATGGTGGACAGGGGCATTCAGATAGTTTGAAGGACAAAGTTTTTTGTTTTTTTTATATTAAACAGATGAGGGGAGAGTCATGGAAAATAAGTTTGAAAGCTCTAAAATAGAATTATTTTTACTGCAGAATTATTTCGTGATTTTTTTTTTATTATAGTAAACTCAGAATTATTAAGATGTTTCACAATGGGTAGCTGTCAAATGATCTCAGTTCTTGTTCTGATTGGCTGCCTAACCTAAGATTAGCTGATATTTTGTTCATTGGGAGTTTTCTTGTCTTCAGTCATCTGATGCCTAAAGTCATGGTATTCTATGAGCTGTAGTTTTTAGTGGAAGTCTTTGTGGAGGCAAACAATTATTTATTGTTGTGCACTTCTTTCCCTGACATTACCAATTAGCACAATGTCATTATTTGAAGCTCTCACCTTCTACAGAGTGTTAATGCTCTTTATTTGAACGATTTTTATGTGCTAGTGGTTGTCACATCAGATCAGATCTGTGGAGTTAAATGTGACAGATTTAAGCACTTACATATTTAATCCTTTGAAAATTTCTGATTATTCAACATTGCAGTGCTGTCATTGTTGGACTTTTAGCTGGGGAAGATAAATAAACTTTTGTGAAGAGAAATATCCAAACAGTGAGATTATTAAATGAGGAAAAGCTAAAAATCAAAACATTTAAAAAAAAAACTTTCAATGATCCTCTTCGAAATGAATAAAATCTGTAAAGCAGAGCATTTAGGACAGTAACAGACTCCAAAACCACCACCCCTATTTCAGTCCAGAGCAACGCCTTCATCTGAAAAGAGAAGGATATGGTTAGTGAAAAGAATCCTCCAACTCAAAAGTCATAATTATTGTGATGAAGCTGGAGATATCTCTTCACTTCATTACTAAGTAACGAGCAAAGATTTGAGGTTAATGAAAGCTTTCAAGGTTTCCAGTCACAACTCGAAATCAATGGTTCTTTTCATGAGAAAGATGACTGAAGAAACTAGAATTATCATCCCATTCGATCACATATCGTTCAAATCCTCTTATGCAGTGCTAATGGATTTTTGTCTTTGTAAGTGTGGTCTTGAAAGCAAATGTCGGTGCACTATGGAGGTTTCTATGAAAATGTTTAAGATTAACCTCACCACCATCATATGAAGAATTGCATGTAGTAAATATGTAATTTATTGATACATAGATGATTAATTATGAGGAGTAAGATTGTATTTTTACACAATTTGTACATGCGTATGTATATTTTTAAGACATACGTTAGTTTCATTTTAACTCAGGCTACTATACTTTACTGTATAACTTCAACTAAGACTCACGTACTACAATGACTATTAAATTTTGTAACCTTGGTTACCTGCATGCCATTGTTTGCATAGTTGAAAAAAATATTTTCCGTTATTATGGTACCTGCCTTGTTTGATCGGAGTTAAAATTTTATAAACATTTAATAAATAATAATAATAATTTAAGTATTTTAACTGTTGCATCTGCAAATTATATTTTTATTTTACAACAAGATGCGAAAATTACATTGGGGTAGTGTTAAATATTTTGATTTTTTCAATAAATTATTTTTTTCTAAATTTACTCTCTTGTTGCTAGCTTTTCACTAAAATGCGTGTCATGGCTCTTCTTTTCGCTAATCAGCGAGTCTAAAATTGTTATAGGTCATAAATAGAGCACGAAAACAGAGTTGATATAAAAGGAATGTTTTTTGTATTTCCCATATGTGAATGTTCGTAAGATGAAATTTTGAAGAGCCAGTAATTAAAATCTCAGTGAGACTGTATAATTATATTCTAAAACGTAATTTTTCATTTGACTCCCCTTACTCCCAGAGGCACAGCGGCATGTCTGCGGATTTGTACCATTAGAAACTGGGTTTCGATACCTGTGGTGAGCAGAGCACAGATAGCTCTTTGTACTTAATAAGAAACATCATTTGACCCAATGTTCGATATACAAGACTGTTCAGTTTACGTTATTTTTTAGTTTATTTAGTGATTTAATGATCATTTAGTTATCATAACAAGTGTTAAAAGTTAATTATTTTAAAAGCGATAGTTATGACAAGTTTCGTTATGGTGAATGGAATTTAATTGTTGAAGTAGGCTTTTGTAATATTGTTGACGTCATCTTACTCGAAGCTTCTAAGTTTTTCGTTATGTTTAATATTGTTGTTACTAGAGGGCTAAGTATTTCTAGATTTTTCTGTCGCGTGTTATAAATACGTCCAGATATAGAGAGGAAGTTAGTGAAATTAAAAGTGAAGTTAGACTGCATGATTGTAAATTTAGCCGTAATGGGCGATTTATAAAGTTTGTATTGTAACAATGGAGATAGAGAAGAATAATTTATCTTGTCAATTGGGTTTTAAAGTAATTGAACCAGCCTGTGTGGACTTTTGATGTGAAAGAGGATTATTTATAGCTCTGAATGCAACTGTGGTAACCCACGGGGTAACATAAGTGGATTTTTCACTGATTGTATTGTGATGAGAGAAGAAATAATTCGTCATGTCAGTTGGGTTCTAAAGTAACTGAACCATCCTGTGTGAACGTTTGACGAAAAAAGTTAATTATTTAAAACTCGATTCAACTGTGATAACCTATAGTGTAAATAATTTTTTGTACGCACATTTAACTTGTTTTGAATATATTATTTTAAAACAAGTGGAGTTTTTGCTGCCTGTTTATTGTTGAAATTTATCACCAACAGGTCACAGACACCTACTGTAAAGAATGCGGCCCTCATAAAACTGACACCCAATATTGACAGAAAAAGCACAGTTGTGACATAACTACAATATACTGCTTTTACAAAAGTTTTTCATTCGAAAGCAGAACTCAATTAACTGAACAATCTGATAAACAAGCTTTTCTGTAAAGGATTTTGTTTTGTCCTAGACCGCATAAAAATATAAGCCAATTGTCACGGGCAATAAACTATATAAAACAACGGGAAAACTCGAAATCATCGTGCAGTCTTAAAATAACTGGTGGGTATAGATGTTTGATTATTTCCTTAACTTTATTTTTAATCGAGTATCGAATAGTGCCTAAACAGGATATGAATAACCCATCAGTTGTTGGTTTTTTTCGGAACATCTAAGATAAGAACCAATGAAGTATTTAGATTTCGGATTTTGTATAGAATGTTTATTCTATTAGAAACGACAACTAAAACAAGTCTATAGGTCGAGTTTCGAAAATATCCTGTCTTTCGAAACGTCGTCCTCTACACTTTTATGTTCTCTACAACAGGCAGTTGCCGCCAATTCCAATGTACTCATCATGAATACTTTGCCTAAATGATCTATCAAAGAATAAAAACAAGTTCTTCCAAACATTTGTTTAATGTTCTAAACTTATGTTTCAAAAAGGTTTTAATTTCCTGATATTATAAATGCTATTTATAAGAAGGTTTTAATAACATTTTCTTTAAACTGAGAGAATGGAACTTTCAAGGTGTGAATAAAGTCCAGTGAAAATGGGTTTATGATAGGCTTTAGTGGTAACTTTAGTTTACTAATTTATAACATGAACATCTAAGAACGAGAGTTTTTCATTCTGTTAACTTTCAACAGTAAATTTTATATTGAACTGTTTAACAATTAAAACCTGGAAAAATTCGCCAATCGACTGAACAGTGTTCATCAATATATATCGTCTAATATACAGGCTTTAAACGTTCTGGATATGACTGTGCCAAATTTTGGCGTGGAAGCACAGGAACAAGTTAGCAAGATTAGAAGCAAAGCTGGAGCCCACGGCAAATCCACCAATCTGTTCATATATTTTTACTGTTAAAAATAAAATGTGATTATTTCGTCATAAAAAAGTAAAGTGTTTTGAAAATGTCTTTAGTTTTACCCTGTATAATTTCATTGCCTGCACATAGAAGTTAGAATAAAGATCAATAGTTTCTTTCAGAGGTGTATTTGTAGACAATAACTCGATATCATAACTGGCACAGTGAACACCATCTATTTTAAGCTACTAAAAGCCCGGCATGGCCAGGTGGTTAGGGCGCTTGACTCGCAATCTAAGGGTTACGAGTTCGAATCCCCGTCTCACCAAATATGCTAGCCCTTTCAGCCATGGGGGCGTCATAATGTAACGGTCAATCCCACTATTCGATGGTAATAGAGTAGCCCAAGAGCTGGCGGTAGGTAGTAATGATTAGCTGCCTTCCCTCTAGATTTTCACTGCTAAATTGGGGACGGCTAGCGCAGATAGCCCTCGTGTTGCTTTGCGCGAAATACAAACGAATAAGCTACTAACAAATTCAAAAGTATCTTTAACAAAGTATCCATTCTGTACCAGCTCTTTCAAAAACTGGGTAAAATCTTGCTAAAAATTGATTGTAGTCTTTCTTGAGAAGCTGCATGATGTATTGATATTCAAAAAGAAAGAAATTTGTTGCTTGTGGACTGAA